TATTGGCCATTTTGTGTACACGTGTACTCATGTGAACGTTAATTGCTTTCACCTATCTCTCACGGTGACCAATTTTAATACTTTCGCTTTACAATAATGCTGCTTGCACATGGTTAATTGATAAGGGCTTAGACGATTCTATTGTATGGATTCTTCTTTTTCTAACTGTCCAATAAAATAATGATACGTGTCTCTATTGTAAAAAAATCATGTCATTGACTCCTATGTAGCAGAGCTGTTCACTTTAGGGGTTCGGTGTCTTCAGACGATAAGAAGATTTTCTCATTTTTTTTGAGTATTCAAAATTACAGAATAATTCTTATTGATAATAAGGATCCGTTTAACAAAGTTTTAGAAAACTCAAAATCTCATTTTGAGATTAAGAATCTATTTTTTAACGCGTTAAGAATAATTATACAGAACTTGCTTTACTTTTATGGAGTGAATAAGACAAACGTTTGACTTAGGCATACATTTTTTGTCATTTAAATGCTAATTAAACATGGATTTTAGTTAAAATCCAATAGAAGCACAAGTTTTAAGAGGTGCTATGATTTGAATTGGACCATACGGCTTTGACATTTTGTATATCATTTCTTGGGATCCAAAATCACAAGAAATTACATGATTATTGTTCGACACATTTTTAAGAAAAGTATTAGGATATGCAACGGATCTAACTTTTTTAGATTAATAATGCTCCCCACTGAGCAAAATTTCACTTTCATATTAGTTTGCAAGAGGAAAGCGTGTTATGCTTACGCGTATGACTAGAAATCGAGCCTCAATTTACGACTTAGAATTTGATAGATAGTTATACAATTAACTCGAATTTCGAGTCCATCCATTTGTAGTGACGTTCATTTCTAAAAACATGTTACATTAGCAGTACTGTGACAAGTCACATTTCGAAGAATTTACTCTTAAAATGGTATGTGACTTCTGAAAAATAAAGTGTTTAATGTACTTATAAATGAAAAATGATATGTGTACGCCATGAGGTGTACACACGGCTTTACACCACCCTCACA